CTTATTTTACACCTATTGTTTCAGTTGCTATCGCCCGAAATTCCAACACTGCTGCTCAATAACAAAGAGCGTCTGCTAGGCTCATCAACTCAATTAAACTTAACTCCTTTATTACGCAATTCCAGTCATGCTTTGTATTGGCCTTTTAAATCTTGATGACCCTGGAGTGACTTTATCTCACAGTTTTGACTACTGGTCTCGTACTCGGGTATGCCCACCTAGAGACGCAATCACACGCATATGCACACTCAAGCATGAAAGAACTTAGATGAACATGAAAATGATAGTCAAGTGATTCTACATTTCTTTATATACTTACATTTTCTCCATTTTTTTCTATATGTTGATCTATAACATGTAAGTTAGAACAGGGTAGCCTACTTGAAATGGTGTGGCCTGGCGTTTATGCAAGAATGAGATTTAGTTATGACGATGTCTTTCAGTCCATTTTCATCGGAACCGAAGAAGAATAACTGTCTGGATTCGTCAACCTGAAAGTCTTCACAACCATGCTATATCAGGATATTCATGCAAACCCACTTAAACTTCGCAACCCGGTTGGTGTGACAAGGAGACCTTGTTGAGCAAACTTAATCCTGCCTACTCTGTAAGACAATTAATGATAATTTCCAGCATCAAAACGTTGTCATTAATACTCTGGCATAGGACGCAGGACTAAATATGCCCCATAAGGTCTCCCTGTCACTCCAAAGAAGGTGTGAAAATGAGGTTAAACCAGCACAATTCAGCTAGATGAAACTTCGACCAAACTTGCGGTCACATTATATTGGTCGTCATATCAACTAGTTAAACTTCGCCTATGTTGTTTACTTGCCAACTGGAGCCTTAATAAGATTTGGCTACACAAGTTACCTACCCTAGTTCAGGTAAGGTAATGAGGGGACTGGTAATTACATTTTTCCGTAATAATATGAGTATACCTTACGGTTCCACTGAATTTCACATAACCTTACTTCCCAAAAGGCGTCCTCACCTAATTCTAATCAGCATCCTCAACGGGAATCGAACTGCAAAGCTATGGCATATAATCTCGACACGTTAACCACTACGCCATATTGTCATGAATGCTCTTGGGTGAAAGAGCAGATGTGAATTTCAATCGAGGCCTGCATTTTCCCATATCACATTTTGTGATGGGTTTGTCGATGAAGCAAAGTTGTATCTGCTATAGCAATCGACTAAATTATTTATTTGTTCGTTTTATAAACAGGTTTTTGAGACAGCCAATAGACCATAAATATGAGTGTAAATACATATCAAATTTATGATCTGCTGGCAGTCTCAAGAATCTACTTATAAACGAAAAAAATCTACGAATTGTTTGACCTTCTTCTCAAAACTTATCATGCTTCCTGGAAAACTTTAGAAACACTACCTGTACCACGTCGTTTGTCATTGTGTTCCTCTCATCTTCCATCACCAGACAGTTAATTAAACTTATTCCTAGAGGTTTCGTCGCCTGATACTACGATTGATCAAGGCTTATTTTTTGTAAGAGAAACAAAAAATGCTTGGTACATTCTCAAAAATCGCCGTAAGAACACGATCAAGCTTAGGAAACGAGGTCCAAACAACCTATTACAGAAAAGGAGATCAAACTAATACAAAAAAACGAACACCATGTTAATCTTCACCTCCATCTGGTGGGTTTAAACTAGTTATGCGCAAATGTTAAATAAAGCGTCTGTTCAGTACCAACCCTACAGCATCTATAGAAACATTCTGGCTCAAGCCTTCTTGTGATTCAATACTCTTTGTTCGACTCATGTTGGGCAATGAATATAAAAAGGGACTTTTATTTCGTATTAAAGTGCATGATGAAGAGACTCAAAGGTCGATATCACCAGAATACGACGGCTGATTCCCGTCGTACCGCAGTCATTTGGCTTTAATACGACATTCAGGATGAAGCAGTCCCTCATTTCGGATGTAACCGGAGAAGAATAAATAAGCATGAGTCCCAGCTCCGATTATGACGACCGAAAGCTCAATCCATCTTCATCCGAAACGAGGGAGGATGTCTCGTGGACTGCGTCAACCTGAATGTCGTATTGAAGCCAAACTGCTGCTGGAATGAGCCGTCGTCTTCTGGTGAGATTGATCCGCAAATCTATTCGTCATGCCCTTACATAATCTCAGGAAAATAATTGAAGCCCAGTAACTCATCGTATCTACTATGATTAGGAGGCTACAGCGCACTGTAAATAATCGACAATTGGTGATACGTCAAACATAAAAAGCAAAAAGAATATATATATATATATATAGGCTTTATAGACGCGACTCTTGTATGGAGAAAGAAGCAAATTATTTGGAAATGTGAATAACAGAAGCAAAAATGATTGACGGCGAAAATTTCCAAATCGCATCCATCCTCTTGTGGGGTGTTAATTGTTTATGAGAAGGTTTTAAGCATTCTAGTATGATAGGTGTTTCTGCCTTTCATAGTTTGCTCCATAAAATCCTACTTCTACCACTTAATATCAAGCCCTGGTATCCTCCTTAGATCTAATTTCATTCCCTCTCTTCCCATCCGGGCACGATCTTATTCGTTCGCTCACTCGTTACTCATTCACTAATTCATCTACTGATTCAATAAATTTATTAGGTTCCTTTCTCACTATTTCAATAAATTCATTCCTTCTTTTGCACTCATACAAAAGGACCTCACTCCTTCTTGCCTCAATCGCTCGCACATTAGACTCTACTCCCTGAATCACACCCAGCACACTCTATCCTCCTGACCCTCTCCTCCAATCACCAATTTACTAACTAATTTTCTTCTTCACACATTTAGACATTTCATTGCTTCTTGAATCTCTCACTGCCTCTCGTTCAATCTTTCGCTTTCTATCATAGCCCCTCCCACTTGAATACCCTCAAGCCCATCATTCGTGTATCCGTTAATCACTCTTTTCTCGTCAGTTACCTGACGCACATGCCGAACTCCGCCTACAGGATCATTGTTTTTCTCCCTCCTACTCATGCTCATCCCTAGTCACCCACCTTTATAACTCTGCAGCACCAGCGCATTATTTGAAAAGGTTTAAAGACAGTTGTTGTTCGGTCACCAGGCTTAATAGTTAGGTGAACTAGTAAGACTCGATGAGGACTAAAGGACAAGAATGCCAAAAAAATTAAAGGTAGAAAGGAATGAGAAAAAAATCCAAGTTGTTACAAACCGGTATTATGATAAGAGACAACAATCTGAGCTGTTTTGAAGAGGAATTCGAATGGCGCATCATGTCCTGCCTCTTGTACCGATGTTTTTATCTGTTTTCCAGCATCCAACCATTAGCCGAGTTTATTCCTGGAGGTCGTATCAGCCTCATGGCATAGAGACTCAATTGGTAGCATCCTCCTCAGTTCCGGATTAAGTCCTATCAAACTGGCCCAGATAGCGTCGGAAACCGAGGTATTTTGAGAATAGGGCCCACATACTTTCGCTTGAGATAGACTTGGCATGGCAAAGTAGCTATGAATTGCTGTACCATTTAGGTGATGTAAATAGAAGCGGGCACAAGATTGGCCTGATGTCAGGGGTATGCCGAGCAAAAAGTTCAGTTCGCCTGATCAACGATTACCGAACTCTATTTCCATTGCATCATTCCTTTTAAATGATGGTACCAGCAAACCAGAATTTCGTTCCTTTCAGTACTTCGGGCGATCTTATTTTTTCACTGTCCTTTGCATGCTCTTCATAACATTTGCCGTTGGACGTAAACAAATCCACACATGCATGCTTGCATGCAAGTCGCGGGGGTCGTAAGACGAAACACAGCTTTTCCAACGCAATGAGATGAAAGTGCACAAATACTACAAAGCAATGCAAATGAATGTGTTTTAACCTGCTAAATACCTTCGGCAACGAATTAAAATTATATCTTTAGGCAGGAATAATAATATTCTATGTAAGTAATTGTTTGACATTTTTTATTAGTTTTTTCTTTATTTCGCTAGTGGAGCATTTGGCATTGAGTAAAGAACCATTATGATGATTATGGGCAGTCAGGCCAGTATGAAGGCGGCTTCAAAATGATCCCATGTCATATCATGTTGATTAATTCAGCTGTCGGCATCTGCCGACGGCAAGCTGAGCTATTAATGAATACATTCTTAATCCCCCTTCGTTAATTCTCGTCAGCTCATAATACACAAACAAAGCAACTAGCTATTTTCCCAAATCTTGAATCTCACTTTTTGAGAAAAGTCGTAAATTTTAATTAACCACTTGATTTGATTTACTTCAATTCGAGACTGTAATCCTTTGAAGGCGCACTAAAAGTTGTCGTTTTAGTATTCCTTGGAAGCCTTAAATCTTTCGACTTGCATATCAAAAGGCTGACCTTCATAAGCTCAGTCGGCATTTGAGAAGGGATTCACGCGAAAAACAATAGGAAAGTTGTGATGCTATAAATTTTTGGGCAATCTTGCCTTTTTTTTGTGATTTCTAGCCCGCTTCCCGCGATCGCTGGTCTATCCCGATGGGGGGCTGCCCACGTGCGTCAGATAAACTGGGGTTGATAAGACAAATTGCTCTATACTTTTATTTACTCCTCCATCTTAAGAGTTAGCAGGTAGGACAAGCGATAAACTGTTGAGCCCACCTGAAGACGCCTAATCACTAAGTCTATTTTTTTTACTCCGCGCCGCCCTTTATTCACGAGCTCCGTTGTCCAGATCTTCTGGCATCTCCGACGCTGACCCCTCCGCCCGGATTAGCTCGGCCATATCATCGCATCCGCGTTTACTTCAACCCAAACAAAGACGTGCCAACAAGCGCTTTAAGCCAGTGATACAGGCTCGTGGGGTGAGACCGGATGCCTGAGGATCCAGCACCCCTTGGTCAAGGGTTTCGCCCACGTCCGGAAGGAAAAACACGCAGTAGGGTACGGTGGATCTGGAGGGCATTAAGGTGTTGACGACCGGAATGCGGGGGCCGTTCGAGGCATCCAAATGAGCAAGAGCGATGCCAAGAAATAGATGTTCAATTCGACTCAAGCAGTTACCTCTCACGGCGTTTGGGGAGAAACGGATACTGAGCTGAGGAGGAGAACAGATAGATGCGCATGCTGAGGAGGGAATTTCTGGTACCTGTTAATCTTTTTGGGCATCTAGACACGCAGGAAGAGAGACAGGTGCGCATATGAGCAGGTGTTTTTAACGGGCAAAAACTGCATCCAAGTGACAGGAGACAAGGGGGAAAGCTTTATTCGCCCTCGTTTCAGTCGCTAAATGCAGTTTGGTGAGTCCGGGATCCGACTCTTGACTTTGACGGCAAAATGATCTGCAGAAGACCTGGATACTCCTTTAGCCGTGTTAGCCATCCGGTCTCAATCAAGACCCACGTGGTGTTTTTAGCCCCTTTATGACTGACTCAGGCTTGTATCTCGTGGCCCCATAAATATTCGCCTATGTGCTGACACATATCCACAGGTACATATTTACATGAGCAAGAGGGGAGGAGGAGGTGGAGGGGAGTCGAAATGAATATTTCCGTCAAGCCAATGAAATAGTGAAGAGGAAAGTATAAAAAAGACGCACAACTCAATAAATAAGGACAGCATTCAGGACCTGAGAAAGGAAGAACTTTTTTTAGAGATTTTCTTACACCTTTTAACAGGAATTTATGCAAATCGTCAAGACTGTCCCACATAATGGTCGGGCTGGCTTCTCGATCTGCACATCTGACATCTTTGCTGAACGAAGATGGAATGAACAAGAGAAAGTTGCGCTGAAGTCGGACCAGGCACAGGGTCCTGTGCTGTCTGTGGAAGAGCTGTTAGCAGATGGGTGCAATACAATGTTGCCGAATTACACGAGCCCTAGATGAGGGTGTAGTGATGAGGTTTTGCAGTAGTTATCTGTCGAATCTAAGCATATAATTCACTCTTAAAATGTATTTCTGCCAACTCAATCTCTGTCCTTACTGCGTCTAGCATTGTTGAAACTGAAGCATTTTCTGGTGCTTTTGCTGCAAAACTTTTTCCGGCACGACAATGCAAACTTCTCGGCTATAGCAACACTGAAACCCTGGTAGACAAGGAGGCGGCTTTCTTGTTTTCTAATTAAAGTTCTTTTATTTGATACGACGTGAATGTTTTCAAAGCTATCTGGCCAGCTAAAGCATTTAAAAAAGAAAAATAGACGAATATTTGAAGTTCCAAAAGTTAAGTGCATCCTTAAATATGGAGACCGAGATGATGCTGCCTCTATTTGTGTGACAGGCTCCTTTTAATGTATAAATGTTGTTTCACCTCGTTGGCGCAACTTTGTCGTATTGTCAAAGGGAGCTCGATGAGCGCGTTGGACAGTGGATTGCTACATTCCCAGACGTTTTGCTGGCATAAAGTTGGCATCGCTAGCGAGTCTTGCCAGTCTTAGCAACTCGTCAAAAAGACAATGGTCAAACGTCTAGGAACTCACCAAGTCCATGGCCCGAAGCTGAAAATTATCATTAATTTTATGTTTAAGGATTTCGGACAAGGTCAGTTCAGCTAGGCCTATCTGACAACACGAACAAGTTGCGAAAACGAGGTCAAACCACTTCTGAGTGCATTCTCGTTTAAGGACTACTGATATTTTCGAAGCCTACTTATTTGGCATATAGTAGTGACGTCTATTGTAATGTCACATATAAATGTGCTTTATTGACAAGAGTACCAGTATAAAAATACGAATTGAACGAGGTCTGGCTTGATATGCGAGAACTTTTGAGAAACAAAGTCAAGTTAGATTAGATGGCTTCGTGGGGCCTCCTACTCATTTCACCGCATGAAACTCATCCATCAGTTCTTGTCTTAGACGGCTCAAAGTGGCTCATGTTCTTAGTAGGTTTTTAGAAGTTGTTTGACCTTGTTTTCGTAACTTGGTCATATTGGTAGGAAGACTTAGAGGAACGCACCTTGTCCAGAGTCCATTATATGTATCATCATTTCCAGAGTAGAACTGTGGACGTGGTACATTCTCAGACGTTTCGCCGGAATCGTAGTCGGCATCGTCAGTGAGTCTCGCCATTCGTAG